TAGCAGGCCCGGCTAATTTTTTTGATTTATTGTAGAGATGAGGTCTCGCCCGCCCAGGCGGGTCTCAAACCCGCGGGGCTCAGGCAATCCACTCCCCTCAGCCTCCCAAAGGTGCGGGATTACAGGCTGAGCCACCGAGCCCGGCTATATGTACTTCTAACTGGATATGAAATGCAGATTAGCTTGATCTGAGGATGGTGAAACCCAACCTTATATTCAAAATAATATCAATCAATTTTCAAGTCTTTTTATATACCCCAAACAGAATTCATTCACATCACAATGCCCTCCTTATCCCGCCCTCTCACTTTTTAAACAACACCAATGAACTGTAAATAGGGGCCTTCACAATCTGGAACCTCTTTACTTGTTCTGCTTCCTCTCTTGCCAACAATCCACCCTCTCCTCCCTGCCAATTACTTAGCCATAGGGTCTCTGCATATGCTATTGTCACTTCTTTTGCCCAAATGCTCATCACTCTCCTTATTTGCCTTGTAATTACTTGATACATTTTTGTTTAATATACTTCCCAATAGCCTAAAAACTTCATAAGAGTAAACTACGTCTGTCTTGTTGGCCATTGTACCCATAATGCCTAGCACAGTACCTAACACTTAGTAGGCTGTCAACAAATACTTACTAATTCTAATCAGACCCTTAAGACTCAGCTCAAATATCATCTTCTTTGGGAAGGTATCCCTGAGCCTCTGACACACCACGTTAGTTACCTCTCCCATGTTCCATGAGCTTCCTGTTTATAAGGTAGCTTTTTAATGGTCTGTCTCTCCCAGGAGACCCTAAGGTTCTAAAGGGCAGAAACGTGTCATCTTCATCCTTCTAACTCACAGCACTCTGTGTATCAACTGGTATACTCTAAGGAGCTCAAGAAATGTCTTCTGAGTCGACTATTGAGCAATGTCTGAGCTTGGAGGGCCTTCAGCTATATCTCGCAAACAGGAATTACATGAAAGCATAGGATAAACAGATCACATTTTTCTGTAGCATCCATTTTTACTTAATATTTCAGGTGGAGAGACACTTAAATAATTAAATTGTGTGTGTGTGTGTAGTGAGCTGAATTCAAGATATACATCGAAATTTAAGTCAAACAGAAAATTCAACAAAGCAAATTTTACCTTGGGGTTCCTTGTTCCTCTTCTCTGCTGTCTTTGGGTAGTTTGTCACAGGGTAGAGAATTCACACTTGCATGATTAAAAAGAAAGGTAATGACAATGACAAAGCTGGAATTAAAACTGCTTTCAGATATCTAATATTCTTTTCACTCTACTGCCCAAGTTAAAGTTGCCTCCTCATACCTATAGCAAGGTCAAATTCATCCTGATGCACTCTCAATAAATTAAGTTCAGATACAAATTCAATTCAGCATAAGTAAATTTAAGTTGAAGGAGAGATGGTCAAAAGAAGTCATAGCTCAAAGATATCTTCAGTAACAGGCATATGGGCGTGATAGAATTGAAATCTAAATTTACTTTATAAAGTACCTATAGGTAGCTTCTTTGCCGTATGTGCTTCTATTCTGTGATGGTGGTTCCTTCAAATTCTGCCCACTCCCTCTCTACCGTGTATCTTTATTTTTAAAGGGCATAGTTTAAAGAGGATGGAAGAAATACAGCGTGGGCCTATTCCTGAGTACAAAATGCTAAGTACGATGCAAGGACTAAAGACTATAGTCCCAACAGTGCCCTGCTGCTGCTGTTGCTGCACAAAAACACCTGGCGTTTGTCTCGGGATTGACATTTTAAAAAGTTTCGACATACACGATCTTTCCCCACAACAACTCTAAACCTAAACCACTGCGGGGGGAAATGGAAAACAGCACTCGATTCAGTTGTTAACTCTATATAAGTGCTTTGGTTAAAGAGTTTAACAACTCCCTGGGATTAAGCTGTAGGTGCCTGCCACTTCAACTACCAGACGTCATGGGAATAAAGGAACGACTGTATTTCTTCCTTCACAACGCAATCATGGCAACAGAAAGCACCCACTCGTTCCACTTTGACCCACACAGTTTGTCTAGGCAATTAATCAGCACTCCCCGTGGTCTTCCTACAAGATGCCAGCTGCCTTGCCAATCAAACCTTTCCACCGATTGTATGTAGCAGGACCACACCCCCGGAGAGGCCTCTGGGAGGGGAAGTACTCTGGCCTAAGAAGTGAAAGCTGATAACTCTGGTCGACCCGCCACTGAAACGCACAGACGAAACCTCCAGAGCCTCAGTTCCCCCATCTCTAAAATGGGCTAACTCTCCTTTCACTGGACGAGTTCCCTCCCCGTCCACGCTAGGCCACTAGGAAGTGAAATCAGTGCTAAACCGCAGCTGAAAGTCGTCTGTACGGCTCCAGTCGCCGCGCCGGGCATGCTCAGTAGCTGGGGCTCCGGGAGTAGGAAGGAGCTTTCCGCGCCCGGGCGGCCGACTGCGGGCACTTTGATGAATCACGTGTGTGGAGGCCCTCTTAAAGAGATAGGCACCACTTTCCCTCCACCCTAAACACCGCCCTGAGGGCGGAGGCGGCGGCGGCGACCGTGGTAATTGCAGCTGCTCAGGGGCAGGGCTTGCCCCCGTGCGCCGAGTAGTGGCAGCGGCGTGGTTGCGTCGGGGGTGCCTGAGAGCCGGGAGCCTCGAGGGCCTGAAATCGGCAGTTCTGGGGCGGACACGCTCTCCCTGAGGAAGAGGTGCTGCCGAATCCGTGCAGGGCAGCGTGAGCGCCCCGAGGTGCTTCCTCAGTTGAGGGGAGGTGGGGTGACAGGGCACAGGTGACAGGGCCAGAGAAAGATGGAGCAGCTCGGGGCGGCGGCGTCGGGAGCGGGAGGCGGCAGCGAGGAGCCCGGTGGGGGCCGGAGCAACAAGCGGAGCGCGGCTAATCGGGCCGCCAACGAAGAGGAAACGAAAAACAAACCCAAATTGGTGAGTGCTCCCGCAGCCCCCGCCGGCCTTGGGGACTGGGAGAGCCCAGGTATCCTCCTGCCATTGAGCACGAGGGCACCCGGGGCCCCCTCCCAACGGTGACCGCGACCTCGTTGTGCAACTCCGGGAGCCGCTGAAGCGGCGGCCACGCCGAGGCGCGGAGACGGCGTGGGGGCGGAAGAGCACCCCTGCTCTGCTTAAACCCTTTCTCACTCTTGGAAGCTCAGGAGGCAGTGAGGGAAGGAGAAAGACCCAGCCCCAACTTGGGGAGACCCCCCCCACCTTACCAGGCAGGGCTGTTGTTTGTCTAACTTGTGGGCACAAACCTCCTTTGCGCGATTCCATTTCCTTCCCAGCTCTTGTCAATTGCTATTTTGCCTCATAACACTTAGGGTCTGGGGCTGGGGAACCGCTCTCCTTTTCGGTCTTGATACTTAGGAGCCCACCCATAGCCTTGCAAATCAAGAAAAACGCTATTTAGGCCCCCATTCTTTCCACTTTACCAGAAATCGAAGGAAGAGGCGCCTACGTGCGTTTCTTCCCCCTTGCCTCTCTCCATGTGCTCTCCCAAGAAACGTTTTCTTTGGAAGGGTGGGGGAGTGTGGGAGTTGGAGCTGGGTGAGGTACCACCAACTGTCGAGTGTGTGTAATAGGCATAGTCATGCAGTACTTCCACTTAGTTGACTAAGAACGCTCAAAATCAGTAGGCAGACTGTGCAGGTCTCACCGACCTGATAGTGTGAACCAATGGTAGCAGTCCATTTCCTGCCACTGAATGTGCAGCGGAATGAAATCTGGGGCCTGGTATTGCGTTGGGAAATACTGGAGTTTCCTCAACTCATCAGTTAAAAGGGTTCCTCTTTTTGTAAACTTTCTAATTTGGGTGGCATGAGGGGAAAGTGTTTCCCCACCCCTGCACAAATTCAACAAGCACTCCTTATAGCTAAAGAGTCTTAGTCCAGATCTGAACCACAAGCTACATGTTGCATGTCTAGATTTCAGTTCTAACCAGCAACTTGATTATAATAGGGAAGGAGATGGTGACATATAAATAAAGCCGTTTCTTATGGCATCTGGCCATTTGGTATGGACCTCTTTGTCTTCTCTCTCAGCTCCTATTTGCCTTTTATTTACGGACAGTCCATATTGGAAAACAGCAGTCAAAGCATTTTCATTTTAGGAAATATGCAACCTTTGATTATGTGGGAAGGGACCTGATGGGGTAGATTAAAATGGCAAATTTACAGTCTCATCAGTTCCACCCTAACTTGAGGAAAATGGAAAACTTGCTTATTTGATATTTCCTGTTACCTCAGTATTTACAAATGAAGAAACTGAGTCACACGCTTTTTATAATTTCTCTATGCGGACTGAAGGTTAATGCATTTAATGGGTACCTGCACCATTGTGAAACTTAAGAAAAGTTTTGTGAGTGTATCACCAAAGTTTAATATATTTAAAAATTCTGATGTGATTTTGAAATTGATCAATTTTTGGTAAGAGTGATCATATTTACTTTTAAAACTGTGGTTTAGTTTGTGATTGGAAGTTTAGGTAAAAATAAGGCCGAGTGCAATGCTCACAACTGTAATCCCAGCACTATGGGAGGCCCAGGTGGAAGGATTGCTTAAGCCCAGGGGTTTGAGACCAGCCTGGACAACATAGCAAGAGCTCATCTCTACAAAAAGTAAAAAAAATTAGCCAGGCACAATGTGCTTGTAGTCCCAGCTCCTTCGGAGGCTGAGGCAGAAGGATCGCCTGAGCCCATGAGGTTGATGATCCTATAAGTTGTGATTGTGCCACTGCACTCCAACCTGGGTGACAGAATAAGACCCCGACTCAAAAAAAAAAGTTTAAGTAAAAATAAAAGTTTGCTGATAGTTTCCACAGATATTTTGGTACATCTAGCAAGAATCTTGCACTTTTAAGAAGTATGCTTTCAAGAAAAACCACTTTATCTCTGTTAGTAATAACACCTTGATTGTATTCTTTTTCCTTTGACCATTTGTCCTGTTTCATTTTTTATGTTTTACTTGCTTTGACAAGGTAACTAGATAGTTAGGAGATGATATCACTTTCAGTTCTTAGCTAACTTCACTGTTCTGAGTTGAACATAGCTTGATATAATAGCAAAGAGGTTAATATCAACATGAATTTTACTTTTTTCTCAAACATAACTTTTGAGCCTTGCATGATTTTACAAGCAGATGTGTCAGAGTTAATAAAAACAAGTTTAGGAAGACGTTAGAGCACATTTTAAGGCAAGCAAGTTGATCAGACAGACTTGGTAAACTTTTCAGGAAGGAGTCCATCTGAGATCCTTAAAATTTTGGTAGCATGATAAAACTTTACTTAGACTAAATGTTATTATTTTGAATATTATGTTAATAGCCATTGTAATAGTCCTTAATTGTGTGTATGTGTGTGTAAAGGAGCTGTGGTATGGGATAAAAGAGAGCTATATGGTAACAGAAATTATTTGGGTAGGTGATTGTCGGTGTTAGAGGTTCTTGAACTCCTGAAATTATATGTGAATATTTGAGTTTATGTGGGTACATTCATTTTTCTGAGTTCCATAGCTTTCATCAGTTTCTCAAAGGCACCCATTGCCTAAAGAGGAATAAGAAGTATGGTATTACCAAAGATATAAAGTAAAGGAAATGACAGTTGATTCCACTCTAAGTTACTGGGGAGGGGAGGAGATCAGTGATGAAGGGAGAAGGGAAATGTCACTGACCACATGGGTGATTGATATTGAAGATAATTCTTCTGGTGGTAAAAAGTTAACTACACAATGTCTACAAAGTATTAGCTAAGATTAATTTCTACTACATAGGAAAATTAATTCAATCGCTCTAGTATAGTGGATTCATAATATATAAGGCTTTTAATTCAGTTAGTTTCATTTAGTTCCTCATGGTTCTGGAAGAATGGAAATGGAAAGCATATTTTCCATAGAGAGGAAGTATCTTCATTTTTAATCAACTTTTTGGTAGGTATTAGTAAGAACTTTCTCAGACTGGCATTTCAAGAGTGTCATGACTTCTGTTTCAGATTAAATAAAATGAAATTCACTTCAATTTTCTTCATGTATGCATCCTCATGACCCTTTTGTTTTGATTCTTTTTAAAGAAGGTATCCCTGTCTTGGACCCATCACCTTTTGAATAATGAATTGATAGTAGAGTTTTGGATGTTGTATAATTATTCTGGTTAGGCCCAGATTGTAGTATGTCATCAAACAGCATGACTCTGAGATTAAATAGTAATTTGATGCCAACCATGGAATATATTTTGTTAAACTGATTAGGAGAGAAAGCTCTAGAAGTGTGATGAAAGACCTACAACTTCAATCCCACATATTTAAGGCAGTTAGTTAACCATTAAGAGAAGCCATTGTTAAGGTAGAAATAGCACCCTCTCCCCATGTGACTTGACAGTGTTGGATGTTTTTGCATTTTGACTTTGCATTTCTGTATAATTTCTAAGCCCTTTGTTTCTTTAGACAGTCAAGTCAGATTGTTAATTTTCTGGTTATTATATAACTTCCTGAGTATTTAGTTATTTGTTTACAATTGGATAAATCATTATTTTGATTTTAAATAATAAGGTATGAGCACAATGATTTCGTTTATGCAATACGCGTTTACTGAGTACTTACTCTGTGCTAGGCACTGTTCTAAGGATTGGTGATATAAAGATGCTCATAGTCTAGTGAGACAGACAGGGAAATTAAATATTTGACTAAAGAGCAGTGTGAGCCAGGTGTAATATTTTAAGCCTGTAGTCCCAGATACTCCAGAGGCTGAGATGGGAGGATTGCTTGAGCCCAGGAGTTTGAGGTTGTTAGTGAGCTAATGGCGTCACTGTGTCATGGTACTCCAGACTAGAGGACAGAGGGAGACCCCAACTTTGAAAACAAAACGAGAGGTGTGCTAAGTTATGATAGAGGCATCTAAGTAGAACTGGATGCTTGAGTAAGGCTTATAGTAGGTGACATTTGCACTGAGGCTTGAAGAGATTTAAAGAAAATAGGGTGTCAACTGAAGAAGGAGAGAGAAAGGCATTTTAAGTTGAAAGAACAGCATATACAAAAGTAAATAGATCCAGGAGTATACCCAATAAAGAAAGTTCAGTTAGGTATATATGGCTGAAACAAGGAGTGTATATGGTGGACCTGCCAGAAAAGAGACAAGAGTCCAGATCATGATGAATCTTTGTATGCCATGTTAGTATTCAACTTCTTTCTGAAAGTCAGAGTGAGCCATTGAAGAGGTTAAAGCTGGAGAGTGACCTGATCAGATTTGTGTTTTAGAAAGGAAACTTAGTACTTTGGAGAATTTCTTGGAGAAGGGTGCCAGAATGGAGGCAGGAAGACCAATTAGGAGAAAAGTGGCATAAAAGAGTTTGATGTTTAGAGCTAGAGATCTGGATTCTGGTCATAGCCCATCATCCGCTCATCCATTTACCAGCTCATGCATTTGCTAGGCATATTTATTTGCACCTCAGTTTCTTTCTGCCACCTTCATTGCCTCTCCTTTCTACCATCCACCCTGGACATCTCACCAAATCTGAAATGTTCATGCTGTTTCCCTTTTATAAATCTTACCCCATTCCACTGCCCAGCTCACGTCTCAATGTTCTCATTCTTCCATTAAACCTTCGCTGATAAAACTGAGGGCTCTTCCTTCTTCTGAACTCATAACTGTTGCGAGTCTAAATATTATGTGCTGATCTTGTCTCTGAAACAATTTTAAAGTGCCTCTGGGCAAGGGTTTCATTTTATGTCTGTTTTTGAAAACCCGGCAGTCTAGCGTTTGGGTGCAAAACTACTTGGTAAATAATTATTAGCTCGAGTTTTTTTCCCTATAGGCCAGGCATTTTGAGATTGTAAATTGTTGAAAAGAGGATTTTTAAAAAAAGTTTACTTTTATGTGCCCTTTTTTTCCTTAGTGTATGTATACACCATCAAATGAATTTATCTGCACATTCCACTGTGCC